TCGTAATAACCTTATTATTATACATCTTTTTCTTCCAAGGATACATCATGGGAATGCCGAAATCCAAAATGCTTAGAACAGAATCAGGGAACTTCTTTGTGTGGAGTCCGGTCAAACCCTGGTGGCAGCCATAGGAGGAAAATACCTCGTAAAATACCGCAAAATTACGACACGCTGTAACTTATGGCGTTACGGTGACAGATGTATAATAAGCCCATATATTCAAACGTAATTTTATTTCATTTATGAGAGACGTGGTTTCCCATTCTACAGATTAATATTGGGCTATGGTTAGATGTTGGTTTAAAGGTATAAAGTGCAATAGATTGTGGTCTAAATTTTCGCGACTCTTGAAAATACATAGGAAACTTTCAAATTACAATGTTTTGTCAGTTCTCCCGCAATTTAGTCCATCAAATATTTTAGACAATAGTATCACCATTCCAGTAAATCATCTTGATGCGCAACATATTCATTAAGAGCCATATTATTTTCAGAAAACATACTGAGTTCAAACCGTAAAAAAAAATCACATCACTCGGCAGGTAACTTTTGGATCGACGCACGGGACAAAGCTGAAGATGGGGTCTGGGTAAATTCAGATGGGGATGTATTGACATTCACAGCATGGGCGCCGTATGAACCAAACAATGCTGGTTTTGTTTCGAAGAACAAGGAGGCGTGTGCTCATATGTGGTGGTAGATAAATGTTTGTTGTTATTATGAGTCTAATCCTAGACACTACGCACAATACATGTAGTGAATGGTGGAATATAATATTAACTAGTCGTCTATAGTTCTGTATCAATTGTATCGTGTGTGTTACGTGTTTTACAAATTACTGTAAAACAAACAAATACATACAATAGATTATACTCTGAGTTGTTCCAATGATATTACAAATTTTATATTTTCAGGGAGCATGATTACCTTTGGAATGACCTTACATGTGAGAGTGATATATATTTTATCTGTCAATCAGGTAAGTAAAATACAACGTACGCAAGATAACGCAACGCCAATATGAAACACTCATGGGTGTGTTTAAGCGCAAATCTTTTTAAGCGTTTTTTTTTTCAAATATTTATTCGATCTTTATTATATAATTTTGAATATAATTTCAAACCGCTTTGCAATGAATCATGACTTGATATTTCTAACGGCAGCGTACACGAAAATCTGAAAATATGCCTTTTGGGCAAACCCGTTACCTCTTACTTTTTGTTGGAAATGAATTCGTCATTGAAGTTTTCTACACAACAATATTTGTATGTGTACTCGAATACTAGTGTTTGCTATTAGATCAATTCTCTGAGTTTATTTATTTTTCCACCAAATCACCCTAGTACTGAGTACCCCAATATGCAAAACAAACTAACGAGTTCTCTATACTCCATACAGGTCAAACGTCAGAATGTCATATCTCTGGTGATGGGACAGATTATACTGGTAGTGTTTCGCATACAGAGTCAGGATTGGAGTGCCAAAGCTGGGCGGTGCAGTATCCACACGAACACACCCAATTCCAGCCATATCCATTACTCGGAGATCACAATTACTGCCGTAACCCTGGAAGCAGTGGACATAAAGCGTGGTGTTATACAACCGACCGAGAAACGAGATGGGAATATTGCAATGTAGGAGCCCCGACACGGAATTGTGGCAGTATGTTTAATGTCTTGCTTTCAATAGGAAATGTTATCTTCAAATCAAATTTAGAGGCACCTATGAAATTTAAGTCATGCAAACATCTAAATGCACATATGCAAATAGTCGTGAGTGATTACAACAATGACACAGCGATCCTGTTTCTGGAAAATGCAAGCTATCTTCAATAATCCAATATTTTAGAATTTATCGCAAAGTCAACTGATTTTATCATCAAGATAATGTCAACAATTGGGACGAGCTGTTCTGCATTATATAACAAATGCTGCATCGAATGTGTATGATTACTTATATGCATTAACCTTAATGACCAGGAAATCATTTGAAAATCATTTGAAATTCAATACCACGTGTTCATTTCGACATTTCCGCAGAAAATTAACACTATTAAAAAAACTAATTATTGCTAATTAATAACGAAATTGTTAAAATTGTAAGTGTTTATTGTGATCATATTTTCGAATTATGTACCTATAATTGGTTTCTTATTTCTTTTCAGATGATGATATTGAATGTTTTGAAGAATATGATGAAAGTGATTATGCAGGCCACGTTAGTACCACGCCATCTGGCAAGACCTGCCAGAATTGGGCCATACAATATCCACACACACATGGATACCGTGGAGATGTTGACATCGGTGAACATAACTACTGCCGCAACCCCAGTGATGTCGCCAATCGTCCTTGGTGTTACACGGTAGATCCCGGTATACGATGGGAGTATTGCGATGTCTGTGGTACTGGTGAGCACTTTACTCTACATTTAAATGTGATACACTGTTACGGGAAGGCTATGAGTCGCATATTCCTACAATCAGATAGACACATCAGATGTAATAAAATAAAATTTGCTATCTTTCAAAAAAACCAGTCCATATCACACACTTTTAATTAATAACTAACTGCACTTAATCTTATGTAAAAACATACGGTGACCATTTATGTGCGGCAAATTACCATATGGATAAGTTTAATGACGAATAGTCACCATCGTTATAGTACATGAATTAGTAAAGTTTCAAACGATTTCAAAACTTTCACATTTGCAGGGCGATTTACTTCCCATCAAAATATTGCACTAAACAAGAAGGCTTCGCAGAGTAGTTTATACCATGAACACGGGATTGCATCTCACGCAATTGATGGATTCAAGTTTACACACTATGAGGATTTTTCCTGCACTCATACGAATGAAGAAACTGATCCTTGGTGGAAAGTAGATCTGGAATACGACTACATTGTCGATGAAGTGGTGATCACAAACAGAAAAGATTGTTGTTGTGAGTATTGCCAGTAATTATAAAGGTATTTATTTTTGCATATAAGCATAAGCCTCTGTTGTTTGTGTACAATTTGTTGAATTTACTTCTCGGTCTCGATTATTACAGTTTTCTGACTTTCCACCTAGTGTATGACTTGCTTATTCATTGGATATAACAGTGCATATTTTGTTGTGGGTCGTTTGTGTTGTGGTTTGCGTGTTAGTTCATTGTTGTTGTTTTTTTTTGTTTTTTTGGTGGATTGTTTGTCGTGTTGTGCTGTTACTATGCTACATGTGGAAAATAATTTGCCCAGTCTTTTCGAAACACCTGACATCACTTCATGTATACCATGGAGTCCAAATATATTTCTCTTACTGGTTTTACTATGATAGGGTAGAATAATTGTATTGTAATGGTCCTGTGAGTTGTGTTTTGTCAGTCATTTTTTGTTGTTGTTTGTTCTTGGATTTGTAAATTTCCCTATACGAAATCTGTTTAAGTATCTAAGTTTAGGCATGCTCTTTCCACTTCTCACATATTTCTTGCCGGACTGATTTCAGCGGAACGTTTGAAAGGTGCAGTGGTGCGCGTGGGTTCTTACGAAATATTGTCGGACAACACGCAATGTGGGCGCACTTTGAAGAAGACAGATAAGGGCACTATTCCATTTGTCTGCGAGAAAGGCACGCTCGGACGATACGTCAGTGTTCAGTTGGAAGGAATGACTAACTATCTGACACTTTGTGAGGTCGAGGTCTACGGAAATAGAGGTATGACGTCATTTACATATACATACACATACACATTACCTACAGAGTAGTAGTAATACATTTGGCGAGTACTCTAACAGAAATATAACTGATTCTCATCATTAACCGGCTTGCCTGGGTATTACATCATGTCTAAAATGAAATAATACATTGGAGAAAATGCGTATATGTTCTAGGAATAAATAGTTATTCAAATCAATTCGCCCAATATGCTGCGAGCAGTAGGTAAAAATTCTCAACATTTCCCTTGAAACTAAATTACCGGTTTATAATTAATCTAAAGCTCAATATACCGTATTAGTATTAACTGTTAATTCCAATGTTGTATTTTCAGCCCAGCTATACCGCTTAGACCACCGTTGTGGACCAAAGTACCAAACAATTAGCGGTAAACCCGGGGAATGCGACCCACATAGTCTTTACCCTTGCTGCTCGCCATGGGGATGGTGTGGTATGACATCTGATCACTGTGATTGTCTGTCTTGTATTGACTTTAGAGAGGTGTATGGCACATACGACGGTATGTTATTAGTGGTAATATTTACTGTTGACTGGATTACTTTTGCTCGAAATTAATTGAATAATGTATATATATTGTAGAACTGCTACAAATAATGTGTTTCTTGTATGTTTAGTTCACCCATGGCGAGATGATTTATTGTGCGGTCCAGGATATTCCGCAGCAAATGGTATTGAGCCTGCCGAATGCGATCCAAACAGTATTTATCCTTGTTGCTCTAATGCTAACTGGTGTGGCATTAGTGATGATCACTGCGAATGTTATGGCTGCGTTGACTACAGAGAAGTCTATGAAGGTATTGATTGTAATTGTCAATTTCGATGACAAATTAATTTTTAGTTCATCATAGATGTAGTAGCCATCATTATATAAAACACACAACATTGCAGTAAAGACTATTACATTTAAATTGTCACATTTATATCAATCTTCTTTCTCAGTAACCAATTCAATCGTTGATGCCTGTACTGGTCCACCAAAAGTCTTAATTATTCCCATCGGCGGCGAATTGGTTTTATCTTCTCCTAACTATCCCATTGTTTACCCATCTTATGCTGACTGTCAGTGGGTGGTGTCAGCAGAAGACCCAACACGTGCAATAGAGGTAATTTGTTTTGAATTTTCTTAATTCGTTACTTGACTTACTGTAACCGTATTTCAGTCAGATGAATACTGAGTTTCCCAATCTTCTAATTACATGTAGGTAACAATTGTGGATGCTGATGTAGCTGAGTGTTGTGATTACGCAGAGATAGGCAATGGTCAGGCTATAGGTGATGAATTAATTGCGACTGTAACCAAAGACAGCATGGGTATGGTTTATAGTGGTGAATCTAAATTATGGGTTCATCTCCAAACAAGTGGCACTGGTGGACGTGGTGCTGGTTTTCAACTTGTATTCACCGATGCAGGTAAGGCTGGCGCACATAATTGTTCCCAAGAACAATCATAACTGGGTCGGCCACTCTGGTCATGATCTAATAGGATTATGTGTGAGAAGATATATATTGTGACGTCAGGGATTCGAATTGCCCATTCACTACTTGCTGTAAATCTACTTGAGGCAGTGTATCATAGCAAAATGGGGAGTGCATCTGCCGTAGTTGTGAAATTAATTCGTATGCTATGCTAGGAATATTAATTAGTAGTTGTGATTTTGCGTCCTATGTTTCCTGTTATTTTGTACGTGTACACGTTTTTATTACCAAACGCTTCAGCGTGGTATTAAGATTTTGTTTTCAGGCTTGGGTGGTACCAAGGTGGAAAATGGTTGCACATATGGGGGGTAATTCCTGGAATTGCAATAGAGAGGGTTCAGGCCGAAATACATATATATAGTGTTTCCATGTTTCGTCTGATATTTCTGTGGTATTCTGCTGCAGTAAATAATGCAAGATTTGTTCCGAAATTCAGTGTGTTGTGTGCACTCCAGGGTTATTC